GGATTATAGGAGTTTTAAGCAACATAGCACATGAAGAAACATCAGATGAATAAGAGCATATGCTCTCACTTCCACTAGGAATGCAATCACAGAAAGTCTGTAGGTCTAGTAAGAGAGCGGACTGTAGTTTTCAAAATTCAACTGAGAAATCACGCTAAGTCAGTCAAGTGCACAATCCTACTCAAGAACACCCACGTGCAAAAACACCCCAAAACATTTACATATCACTTGGCATAAATGCTAGCAGCGCAAGATGTAAAACTCAAACGTCTGTTTTTAATGAACGACAGTGACATAACAGGCATACCAGAAATATGATGGAAGCAAGACAAGTAAGCAAGATACTGATACAAAATATAGAGGAAAGTCATAAAACTCAATATATTGACCCATCAAATCAAATATGGATTGAATTTCCAGGCCTAATAAGGTAAACTCTGTTAGACAATATGATTACCCACACAACTAAGATGATGGCAGTAGCTGTGACATGCAAGGGCTCTAAGGCCAGCCACGTAACTGCAATGAAAGCTGGCAATTATCAGCAGGTTGGATAAATGTCACACTGAAGAGGCCAAGACATAATTAATGTATTTCATTATATTTATTAAATTATATTTATTATATTATACACATTTAATATATATTTTCATGCAGCCAATCAGGCCCACCCAACTCTGGCTACGGTCCCCACAAGCCTACAAGACCCGAGTCAAAAATGCTATTTTCAAAGACTAGCTTTGTGACGGAAACTTTTATTTCTGCAACAATATTGGCCAAGATTATGAATTGGTCATGAATAAAGGCAACAGTCTACTGCTGCAGACTTCCATAAAAAAAAGGAGCAACATAAAAAAAGGAAATACGCTAAAATGAAACCAAAAGACAAGTCAAAAAAATTCAGATGCAATGCTTGACGACAACAGTAAGACTGTACGCACTGAGCTTCAGTATGATGACATTAAATACACCTGCTGACTTACACTCTTTTTGTGGGGAGGGGGAAGCTGGCATGCATAACAAGGTACTAGAACTTAAAAGTCAGCCTTTGTAAACCAGCAGCCTAGCTTTAGCAGTCAAATGGAACCTGTCACCGAATGTAAAATTTACAGCCAGATCAGAGCGTAGAGGAGAATCTGCAGAAGCGCGTACACACTGATCACCACCTTAGGAACAGGAACCGTGCCCCAGTAAGGCAAGCAGATGATCCAAACAAAAAGCAAAGTGCTCAGGGAAGGGAAGGCCACAGAGAAAAAAAAAAACAAATCCCCAAACCCTGAACAAAACCCTAAATCAGTTTTTGGTACCATGCAGGAACTTGAGCGGAACCTCTACAGGCAACTTGTTGAAGGTTTTACCCCTCAGAGCAAAACATCTGAAGAGGTTACAGAGGAA